GGCTGGGGAGGCTGGGGGGGGAGGCTCAGTGGAGGCTGGGGGAGGCTCGGTGGAGGCTGAGAGGGAGGCTCCGTGGAGGCTGGGGGAGGTTCAGTGGAGGCTGGGGAGGTTCGGTGGAGGCTGGGGAGTCTGAGGGGGAGGCTCAGTGGAAGCTGGTGGAGGCTGAGGGGGAGGCTCAGTGGAGGCTGGGGGAGGTTTGGTGGAGGCTGAGGGGGAGGCTCAGTGGAGGCTGGGGAGGCTCTGGTGGGAGGTGGCTGGGAGCCCTGCTTCCCGCTGTGCTGGCCGGCAGCGCTGTGCAGGGCAGGATTCGCGTCACCCCAGGCCACTGAGCTGGTGGCTGCCCAGGGCTTGGCCAGGCCCTGCAGGTGGCGCTGTTGCCCCCCATGAATCCTACAGCGGAGGGGGTGGCTCGGTGCACAGCAGCTTCTCCCCAGCCATGTGCCCTGCCTGCCGGCCACACCGGGCAGGTGAGGAGCCAGGGTCCTTTCTGGGTCTGGGCAATCAGTGTGCGTGTGTGTGCACACGTGTGCGGGGCCCGCGTCCCGGACCTGCCAGTCCCCACTCACCCAGCCACGCCCATGCCCGCACACCACGTGCCTTTGCGGGGCTGGCTGCCGTTCCTGGCCTCCGCTGCCTGTCACAGGGTGTCTCCCAGCCCGGGGACGGTGTGGCCCCATGCTGTGTCTCCAGGCGGTGCCCTGTCCTCCAGCGGGGCCAGGACAGGCGGGCACGGCTGCCGGTGCTGCCACCTCTTTGCCGTAGGGGAGGGCGGGCAGCCTCCCTCTGACATCCGCCCTCTGACCCCCGCAGGCACCTTCCTCTCGGCCTTCGCGGTGTTGTGCGGAGCCCGCACCGACCTGCCCGACAGGCATGTGTGCTGCGTCTTCTGTCTGAACGTGGCGGCGGCGCTCATCCAGGTCCTCACGGCCATCGTCATGGTGGGCTGGATCATGAGCATCTTCTGGGGCATGGACATGGTCATCCTCGCCAGTGAGTCCCGCCCCAGCCCGGCCTCCCAAGGCGTAGCCACTCGGCCCGGGGCACCAGGTGTAAAGTTACAAGATCAAGTTTACCAAGAACAACTTGATTGTCCTAAAAAGAGACCCTCACAATCTTACATGAGGCACCTGCCTGCCCAGCCCGGATCTCCACCTGGTGCCCACCCCACAAGGCTGAGGCTCTCAGGGCTCAGCCACAGTCCTCTAGGCCTCGCCCGCACCCTGCGCTCTGCCTGCGCCTCTTCCTTTGGTTTTATACCCAGCAAAACTGTCCACTGGCAAATCACCAGGGTCAGAGGACACACAGGTGGGGACCGCAAGGTGGGAGGGGCGGAAGGCGCTGGCTTCACCTCACCTTGGAGAATGCTTTTCAGGGCCACACAAAAGAAAATGAGTCACATCCCCCCCCCCCTGCCCACCCGCCCAGCCAACAGGCCCAGCCTCCATCTCAGCAGCACACACCTGCTCTCCCTGCAACTGCACCCAGCTCAGTGAGTGCGCCTCTCTGCCACTCAAGTGTGTGTCCCCCCGGGGCACTGTGTGTCCCCCGGGGCACTGTGGGAACTGTGGCATGTCCTGGTTAGAGACAAGGCTTCGCTCCGGGGGTCATGCTGGACCCTTTCTGGGAAGATGGAGGAAGTCTCAGGTGAGGGTGTGGGTTTGAGTCTCACAGAGCGGCATGGGCCTGGACCCAGATTGGCACCACAGCTCCGTGCTGCCGCCAGTCGCCGCTGGGTGATCGTAAGACCCTGACGCACGGGCCTCAGACCACGCCCACTTGTTCCCGGGTGACCACCTGGTCCTCTGCTGTCCCTGAGCTGCTCTCCCTGGGGCCTTGGCTCCCTGACCACGGAAAGGCCTGGGCTCTGCGGCACAGAACTCCCCTGGAGGGAGCACGGGGGTGCGGGGGGCAGGGCGTGAGGCAGTCCCAGGGGCCGGTGGATGGTCCCCAGGGCACTGAGGACAAGGGCTCATGGCAGGCGCATCTCCAGGGATGTCAGATGTCAGACCTCTGTTGGCTTCTGCTTGCAGACTCTCTCTCTCTCTCTCTCCCCGCTGCTGCCCTTCCTGTCTGTGCTGCAGTTTCCCAAGGTGAGTCTGTTGTGTGTGCAGCCTCACAGGGCCTCCTGCTGTGGCCTCCAGGCCAGAGCCTCAATTCTACATCCTCTACCCCCACCCAGCCTCGCCTCTGATACACAGACACTCCCTCATCGATAGACTTCTAATTTTCCCTGTTTATTCTGGAAAATGTTAGACAAAATAGCACCTAGTGCAATGTGTCCTAATGCCCTCTCCAGCGTCCACCACCCAGGGCTGTCCAGCACCTGTGTGCACCGGATTACAGGACCCCAGGTGCCTGGCAGCCGTGCTGAGCCAGGAGGACACTGGCTGACGGGTAAAAGGCTCAGCAAGCCCACACCCGCACCTGCAGCCGCGGGCCAAACCCGGTCCACTTACCAGCAAGTCCCTAACATCAAATGCCGAAACTCCCACGGGGGGGGGGGCAGGGGCTTGCCTGGCCTGCCTCAGGGCTGGGCTTGAACCCCAGGATCTAAACGAAAACAAGATCCCCACAAAACCAAAATAACCAAAGGCCCTCCGCCCTTGTTTCTCAGTGCTGGGTTTTTGGGGGGGGTAGGGGAAGGGGCTATTTTTTCCTATTGTTTTTAGCTTTTGTGCCGATACACAGGATTCCGCTCTTGCCTTTACACTCCCGCCTGGCACCTGACTACTTGAACCACACCTCTCATTCTGGCCTTTTGCTTCTTCATTGGAAGTAAGAGTCTGGAGATTTGTTTGTTCAGGCTTCAAACCTCTGAGCCTGTCGAGGAGCTGGGGTGGCAGGCGTGAGCCCCGAGCGCGGCTGAACAATGCTGTTCTGAGGGCTCAACGCACCACAGGCCCCACCCCCGCCGGGCGCCAGATGGCTGACCAGACTGACCGGCCGCTGGCCGCCGTCTCCACCCCTCCACAGCCCAGCACCTGCCGCCCACTCCCGAACCCACCCCCTCCGCTCTGCGGTGTGGCGCCATCCCGACCGGTGCGGCGGTGCCGCTCGGCCCTGTGCGGGTTTCCGGCCAGGACATCAGCCTTCTGGCCTCTACCCACACACCCTTCTCCTGGTTTCCCAGGAAACCCGTATCCCGCAATCCCTTCCATTTTCTGTTCCAAAGCCTGGGCCCGCCGGCAGCGGCCTCGGGAAGGGTCGGGGGTCGCGCAGGAAGTCGCTGAGCATCTCCTCTGCTTCCTTCCCCAGGGTACAAGGAGCAGGGCGTCCCGCAGCAGCTGTGAGCGTGAACGGCGGGCCCGGAGGGCGCGGGAGGCTCCACCGCCCCCCTGCTTTCGGGATGAGGGACCGCGGATATTTTAAATCTACTTTGAAGACGCACCCGCTTTTCTTTCTCAGCAGGCTGGGGCGCCGCGGCCGCTCGGCGCAGGCCTGGACATGCGGGGGGCGGCCAGGCGGGGGGCGGCCAGGCTCACCCCCCCGGCGGCAGCCGTTACCCCTCGCCCGGCGCCTGCGGCCATGGGCTCCCAGGCTGGGGGCGGGCCTAGGAGGGACACTTCCCTGCCCACCCCGGACTCAAAACACGACGCCCAGTCAGCAGCAGAGTTGGGGTGGGGGGGCTCCGGGCGGGGTCACCCGGACAGCATGGGCCCCACGGCGTCCCCCCAGCCTCTGCAGGGGCGGGGTGTGCAACTTGTTGCCTCTCCCGTGCCCAGAAACCTGGGCTCCAGATGTCCACATGAAACGGCCGCACCGCGGCGCGTGGGCCAGGATGGTGCCCTCCGGTCACCTGCTCCATCTCCTCTCTGAGTTCAGACACTCTGGCTGAGAGAGGCCGGAGCGTCCATTTGCTGTCCCCCCCTTACCCTCCCCCGTCAGCTGGGATCAATAAAAACCGTGCATAGCCCGCACGTGAGCCCGCACCGCCCGCGCCGCCAAACAGCCCGAGACGCGCGCCCGGCTCCGCACGCCCAGCAGGGCTGCCAGGCCCCGAGCCGCCCTGAAGGCAGAGGCCCCGCGGCCGCCCGGCCAGGCTGGCACTCGGGGGCTGCCGTCGCCTGGGGCCGCGGGGCAGTGACCAGAGCTAAGAGGAAGGAACCCCAGAACCGGAGAGCCGGGCTGGGCGCTGCGGGCCTGTGTTCTCGCCCCTCTGTGTTTTACTGCGGGCGCGCAGGCCGGCACGCAGATCTAGCCCGGAGCTCGGCTCAGGCCCCAGCCACGGCGCAGCGGGTGGGAGCAGGGTGCGGGCGGGTGCCCACGGCAGACCCAGGCTCCCACAGACTCCACACCCCGACCTTCCTCCATTGCTGCGGGCGGGCACGCCTGAGCCTGCTGCGTCTTCACGCCCGACGCTGCTCCGGGCATCTCCGTCGTCCACCAGCGCCATGGGGCTTGGCTGCGCGGCGGGCGCTCGGAGGAGCTGCGGGTCCGCCATCCCACGCAGCCCCCCGTTTGTCCCCCCCGCAGGTCCGGAAGAGCGCGGCCGGCTGTGCGGAGGAAGCTCGCCTGCTGGGGCGCCTGGCGGCTGCGGGGGGAGCGGCTGTCACGAGCCCGTGTCTAGTGGCAGAGTTGGGACGTGGGCGAGACTGCCGGGCGGCGTCGCCGGGCAGCGCGGGGGGCGGCTTCGCACCGGGTTTGCCAGGCCCCGGGCCGCCCTGCCTCCAGCCAGGAACACAGCCCCGGGCCCCCGCCCGTGCCCGGCTGGCCGCTCGGGATGGCGGCTCTGGGTGGTGGCGACGGCCAGGGGCGAGGTGGCGGCAGCCAGTTCTCTCCCTGTGGTTGGAGCTGTGCACCGGACCCAGGACCCAGGCAGCAAGCGGGGCCCGACCAGCGCCCGGCCTCCCCGCGCGCCCCGCCTCCCC